TAAATGTCTGGAGGGAGGCCAGGTGGCATACTGGTTGCGTGTTGGGCTGCCAACCTCAAGGTCAGCAGTTCAAAACCATCAGCCACTCCATAGATGAGGCCTTCTATTTCTATAAATAGTTATAGTCTTGGAACCCCCCCGGGGGTCTTTCTACCCTGTCTCCTAGTATTACGAGGAGTTGGAATCAACTCAACGGCGGTGAACTTTGGAGTTTATTTTGCTTATATATAGACCCCAGCCTCAGACAGGGAGCATTTGGAGGCTGGGAGAGGGCTCAGGCTCATTTTCCGTGCACCGCTTGCTCCGTGTCGGCCTCTTTGAGAAATGAGCCTGGCCACTGCAGGCTTCGTGCACTAGGACACCCCAGCCCCACATGATACTCACCAGGAAGCACTGTACACGGGCTGCATTCCGTGTCAGTTGCCCAAGGGAGCCTGGAGAAGAGCTGACAGTGGGGACGAGCAGCTGGTCACTGGGACCCAGGTGCTCCCCACTGTCCTCTCCCAGCTCAAGGAGGGCCTGGAGGCCAGGGTGCATATTGGGTGAGCAGACAGTCTATGACCAAATCCAGGGAGCACCCACAAGGTGGAGCAGCCCATCTAGCCCATCCCACACGGCTATTTTCATCAGCAGGGGCAGGCTGGGTGCCTCAGCGAAGAATCAAAGCCATTTTTAACAAGCAAGAGGAAGCGGTCTGGGTCCACAGGAGACTGACAGGCCACTACACCAGTCACTCTAGCCGGAGGCTTAGCCATCATTCACTTCCTCGAAAGGGGTCACTCTTCCCCACGACCATCTGCATGCAGGCCCTCCCAGCCACAGGCCTCCGTTGATAGCCCAGCGCCCTCTCATTTCCCGAAGGCCCTCTGCCCTCCTTGGGCAGAGTGCAGCCCTGGATATAAGCTGGTACACAGACTGCCTGGCGTAGGGACTGCTGCCCAGTTTTGTGCAAGCAGATCTGCCCCAGTGGGCACCTGACCACTCTCCCTGTTGGCCAGGACAGGGGAGGGGAGTTGGATTCAGCAGAACTCAACCAGGACCAACCCTCCACCTCCCAGGTCGCAGATCCCACCTTTTGCTGCTGGCTTATTTAAAACTTCATGTGTTCCACCAGCCACCCACCCCATTTTCGGCTTCCTTCTTCATGCCTCTCTCCCCACCCCTCATCCCCCACCGACAATCTAACATGCCAACTGTCTTCTTCCCCTGTCAGGAAGCCCTCTGTGTCATCAGCCCACTGTCCCCTACCTGCCACCAACTATCCCCAGCACCCTTGTACAGGTGAGGAAACTGAGGCCGAGAAGCATGTGCCCACAGTCACACACGGGGTCAGTTTGCCCAGGTCACCGGGATGGGGCAGCTGGAGTACTGGGGCCGTGGGGTGGGCCTTAGGGTCTTCTCAGGCCTGCTGCCAGCACTGGCGGCGTGGAGAAACCCTTGGCTGGGGGGAGCAGATGTGAGTCACTCAGTCAACTTTCAGTTCTAGAGCCACACTGTGCCAGACACTGAGCTGACACTAGATTCAGACGCTTCCAGACAAGACCACAGTGATGCAAAGGGGAAGACAGCCCTGTGGGGCCCTGGGGGAGGGAGGCCCTGGGACAGGGTGTGCCCGGTGCCTGAGGGGTGGGCAGAGGCCGGCCGGCTGGCTGTATCCCACACCCAGAGCACTGAGGACCCACGAACAGGTGACAGCTTAGGTGGGAGAGGGAGCAGATCGGACCTTGAGCTGAACTTGAGCCTTCGTTGGCAGTGTGGAATGGAGTACTTAGGCGGGGACCCAGCTAGGTGGGCCCGGTGGAGTGGAGAGGAGGGGGGTGCAGTGAAGTGGGACGAGGCGTCCACTTGGGAGGAAGCCGTGCTGGCCCTAGATTGGGGTGTGGGTGTGGGGGCAGGAAGAGACATGAGCAGCAGGTTCCCAGTCTCCCACCCACCCCGAGAGTGAGACACACGGAAGTGGGGGGGTTGTTTCTGGGGGAGGCAAGGATATGAGTTCACGCTGGGACAAGCTGTGCTGGAGATGCTGTGGAGACCGGCGGGAAGGCGAGCTGACAGAGTCTAACCAGGTGTCACCAGTGAGCTGACGCTGGTGGCCCCAGGATGGGCCCAGTCCCTGGTTGGTGGACACGGAGAAGGGCTGAAGTTGTCAGAGGGTGGAGGGCACACTGCACATTGCCGTAAGGCCCATGCTCTTGCTGGGGGTGCCTGGGAACGCCCAAGCCCTGAAGTGTGGGAAGAGGGTGAATGGGACACCCAGGACGGTGACATGGGTGAGGACAGAGGTCAGACCGAGCTCTGGGAGAGAAGCTGGGAAACCTGCTTTTGGAGCCAGGAAGGGCAGGCAGGGAAGGTTCCAGAAAAAGTGGTCTAAGAGCCTGAGAGCGGGCCAGAGACGTGGGAGACAGGCAGCGAAGGCCGAGGGCGGCAGGTCTGTCTGATGTGGGCGGACTGGTGGGAAGGCCAGCAGGCGCCGGAGGGGCAGGGGGCCGTGGCTCCCATAGAGGGGTGTGTGCCTGTGTGTGCGGGTGTGCACACGTGAGAAGAGAGGCCTGGAGCAAGGGCTCCACCAGCAGGTGGTTGGAGCAAGGACTGGGGGAGACAAACTGCGGGGTGAGGGCCTGCCTGGTTTTGGTGGGAGGTCCAGGAAGCTTTTCCCACAGCAGGAGGGGAGGCCTGAGCAAAGGCTAGTCCCTGGGCTAAGCACCCTGCACTGTCCATGGAGGGGAGGGAGCCCGCTCCATCCCCCTCTGCTCCCTTCCAGCCTCGTCCAACCCTCTTCTTTCTCCTCATGGCCCAGATTCTCCTGCCTGAGCCCTGCCCACAGAGCAGCACCAGGGAGCCCCTGGCCCTCCCAGCAGGGAGGAGTGTCCCCCACCTGGATGGGAGAGTGGAGGGGAAGCCGCAGGCCAGGGGCCAGGAGAGACAGCGAAGGCTCCTCTTTCCATATAAGGGGTTCATGGGAGCCCTCAGGGGGCCTGGGAGAGAGGCTGCCCCCCCAGAGGGACGAGGGACGGGTACAGGCTCCGAGGCCTCATGGAATGGCCCCTCGACGGAAAGGGTCAGGGGGTGTGAGTGGCCAGCCCAGCCAGTTGGGCGGCCATCCTTGGCTACAGCCAGAAGTCAGTGAGGCCTCACCCTGCCCCAGGAGGCTGTGCAGCCATCCTGCCAGGGCCTAAGTTAGGGGCAGAGACACTGGGCAAGGGCTTCTGGAAGTGGGGGTCAACACAAAAGTGTGGGGACCGCAGGCCCCTGAGATAGTCCTGCCACACCCTGCTGACTGAGCAGCCCTCAGAGGGGACTCTGGTCTCCTTTCAGGCCCCAGGGGCTCTTCTCCAGAAAGACCCATGTGCTGGTCAGGGAGAACTCAGGACAGGCCTTAGCCAGAGAAGGATCCTTCTAATCCCCAGCAAGCTCCAGGCCCCAGGACTGGCTGTGGGACTTTCCACCTGCTACTCGGTCTTGTGGGCTAACTAGGAGCAGGAAGTGAGCCAAGGGCCAGCTGGGGTCTTCGGGGGTCATGATGGGGTTGCACTGCCAGGGACTTTGGGAAACTTATTATAAAACCATCAGTGGTCTCCACTTAGGATGGACACTGCTCTCCATTCATTCATTCCGTCTTCCCCATCCCCTCCCCAGCTGGATGGGGGACCCAGCTCCAGGGTCTCTCCACCCCTCTCAGCCTCCTGCCCTGACTCCTCAGTCCTCCTTCACAATACAGCATAGACTAAGCCAGCACACAGGCCCCAGCCCGTGCCCAGCCCCCCCAAGTTCTGGAGCCCCTCCCCTGCCAACAGGCTTCCCAGCAGGCTCCTGAGCACAGGCAGGCACGCAGCGTGGGCCCCAACGTCACAGCAACCACCCCCGTGGGTTCCCTCGGGGACAGCTCTTTTGAGAAGGAGCCTCAAACCCTGAAGGGGACGAGAGAATGCACCCCTGAAGGATGCTGGGCAGTGGGCTGAGGCGGGTGGGCGTGAGTGTGTGCAGAGGGGGAGGTGACGGGGGAACCAGGGAGGTGAAGGAACCTGGGCCTGGGAGAAGCAGGGAAGTGGAGTTCGGTCCAGAGTCAGACCTGAGGGAGGAAGGGGCTGGGTGGGCGGGGGCAGGGTGGAGGTGAAGGGTTGGGAATTCAGGAATGGTCCTGGGAGGGTAGTCTTTCTACACCAGGGGTGGAGGGCCCAGGAGCTGAGAGAGGACTCCTTGAGGGCATGTGGATGCCACAATGCATTTATCAAAGTAGGAGAATGCAAAGCCCCGGCTCCCCTACCCCCACCCCCCCATCCCCTGCGGCCCCTGGAGTCCTCCACACCCAGGCTGGTGAGAGGGACGCAGCCCACGTCGCCAGAGCAGCAGCTGTTTGAAGGCTGTGTAGGGCTCCTGCTGTGGTGCTCCTGGGAGCCGGCGGGACACAAGCCCCATTCCTTCCACAGACACTGGGAAGCTGGTGTCTGGATGGCTGTCCTTAGTTCCTCCACAGACCCACCAGCTCCAAACTGCTGGAGAGGCTCAAGGAATGTGGCCTGGAGCCCAGGCGCCTGTGCAGGGGTCGTGGACCGCAGCAACACCCACCGCGCCACCGGCCTGCCCCACACTCTGCACGGGGTAGGGCTGGGCCTGGCTGCCCGAAGGAGGAAGGCCTCAGCCTAGACCCACAGACCCCAGGGAGGCACATGTCTCTTCCGGCGGCCAAGGCCAACAGAGGCCGCCCCTTGGCTCCTCACTAGGACCCCAACAGAAAGCACCTCTCTTTGGCCCTTGACTGACTCTGGCCAACCCCCAACAGCATGACCTTGTTCCCTCAGAAGTGTCTCGTGTCCTGCCACCCACAGGACTGGGGGTGGGGGAGGAGGCAGCAGATGAGGCATCCCTCCCTGTGAGCTCACTGGGTCCCAACTCTGATCTATAAGGGCCTGGACTTCAGGAAAAGCAGTACAGAATGGTCGCATGCCACCCCAGGCTCCCCGCCCTCCCAGGTTTCCCGAGAAGGTTGGCTGGACACTCACCACCAGCTGGGGCACAGGCAGCGACCTGCCCTCCTGGCTCAGGGAAACGTAGGTGAAGAAGGCACTGGCAGCCCGGTACCGTTGCTGAGAGTTGTCCACCACGGGGTCGGCGTCCACCAGGACCTCAATCTCCATGGACTTGTTGCTCGTGAAGGTCATGCGCCCAGAAATGGTGATGACACACCCTGCAGAGCACAGGGGACAGTGATGGTCACCGAGGCCCTGAGTCCCACAAGCAGACCCCTGAGGGGGGCAGGGGTGGGACAGGAGTCAGTGTTATTAAGAACAATGAAAAGATGCTTGGTTAGCCAGCCAGAAATGTACTACCTGGTGGCAGGTGATTAGGAAGCTTCCTTGGTAACCTGAGAACTTGTCTCTTTCTCGTGAGCAGGTTGGTCTTTACCATCAACATCAAGAGTTGTTAGGGAGCGTGGTGGCCTTGGGGTCTAGCTCCCACCCCAGCAGGGGTCTTCCTGTCCCTCCGGAGCGGCAACATCTGCTCCACTGCTTCCAGTCCCCCCAGCCCCACAAGGCAAGCGACCACATGCTGCTGAGTAGCTCCAGGTGGGAGGTGGCTGCATCCTTGGGAAGGTTTAGGCTGAAGCTGCGGTCTGCCTGTCCACCCTCTGGCCTCCCGGAGGCCTCTGGAGGTTCCAGCTGCATCCCCGAGAGTGAGGGCAGCCACTGCACTGCCCTGAGCACCACGGAAAGAACTTCTTTTGCCTTCCCGGCCACACCTCCTATCCCGAAGCTCCAACATCCCTGATGCCAGCCTGGCCACTACCAGCCAGCCCTCCCGCTGCCACCTCCAGCCCTGTCTGCACTTCTGTCCACACAGACCCAGAGAGACGAGTTGCCCCGTGCAGGCCTACATCATTAGACAATTCCCTTGGAGTGACTTCAGCAGCCGCTCCTCCACGGCCCTTTTTATCTATCAGCCCTTCCTTCCTGCTAACCTTGCCCTCAGTCTCCCCGAGGCTCAGAGCTCTCCTTCTCCCAGGTCTCACCCAGAGCCGTTTCCTTGGTCACCCCCCTTGGTCGATGTGAGCAGGCTGTTCCGGGAGGATCACCACTGCCCTGCTGTTCCTAATCCTGCCCCTAACCCAAGAACTTGGTGGCACTCGCCCTCCAGCCATGCAGGCCACTCTGGCCTGAGCTGCTTGACCATCTTCCACTGCCCTGGACCCCTCCTCTGCCACAGCCCTCCGTCTCCCAGGACTCTGCGTGTCCCCTCTGGCTTGCTGCAGGGATTCAGTGAAGTAGGCGGTGCTCTGCAGGCACTCCATCAGAGGGCATTGTTGCCACCATGGGGGCTGCCCAGTGGAGGCCAGTCCTTGCTGCTGTTGCCACCATCACCACCACCACCTCCTCTGCTGGCAGTGAGCTCCACATTCTCTCCCTGGGTCTAGCCAAGGGTCCCAAAGCCAGTGCTCACCGAGGGGGTCTTTCCATAAGCCCCTGGAGACCCCGGTGCCCAGCTCCACCCAAACGAGACGGGGTCAGAGACCTGAGCGAGAGAGAGGCCAGTGGAGGGCAGCACGGAGACCGTTAGGGTGGGGTGAGTGTGTGGGCAGGCCAGTGATGGGAGCGGTTACCATGTTATGAAGGTCTGGAATGTTCCATGCCACAGTCAACCTAATACTTACAGGGAGGGGTTCGGGCCACATACGGCATTTCTGGGTGGGAAGGGAGGTGCTGTGCGGTCAGCCGCAAACAGTGCTATGCAAGCTGCAAGGGATGAGAGTCTTGGACTAGCGTCTAGCCAACAGCCCCTGAATATCGCACCCTAGGAAGAGGGTGGGCCCGGGGCTCCCCAGCTACGGGGGATTGTATGAGGGCCTGCGGGGCCCATCAGCCTCCTTTCCCCTTTGGCCCAACCTCAAAGGCCTGGCCGACATTGTGCTCACTGATGACCATACAAAGACTCTGGACCACAAGCCCTACCCCTACAAGGTCTTCTCCAAGGGCCACTTCTTAGGAGAATGGTCTCAGAGGGGCCTCTGGGGGTGTGAAAGGTCAACACCCCCACCAAACAAGTCGGGGTTCTGAGTCCACCCAGAGGTGCCTTGGAAGAAAGGCCTAGAGATCTACTTCACCGATGACCCTCTGACCTGGGGGGTCGTCAGCACAGCAACGGTTCCTGGGCCTCCCCCAGGCACTTTTCTGGCTGTGCTCTGATTAATCAGAAACGGCTTCACACGTGACTGGGGGAAGACAGCACCACAGGAAGCAGAGGAGGCTGGCTTGGAGGCCACGTCCGACACAGATGTCACCATAGCGCAGCGCAGCCGGGCAGTCCAACTACAGCCAGGCCTAGACGTTCCCACCCCGCAGGGAGAGCAGCCCACCCATTGCTCCACCAGCCGAGCTTCACTCCCTACAGGCAGGCTGCGGGGACATGCCGCAAAGCCGGAACTGCACTGGGTAGTCGGCAGGCCCAAAGCGTGAGGAGCAAAGCGGAAGGTGTGGGCAGTTGAAAACACCTTCGTTGGGTGCACGCGGGCCCTGCTGTGACCCTCCCCTCCCCCAAACCCCCTCAGGAGGCACCCTGCACCCCACCCCTGGCAAGTTCGTGTGCTTGGCTCTGTCCAGTGTCCAGACAGACACAGGGCATGAAGCCCTCAGAGCAAGACTCTCCCACCTTGAGGGCCCTGGGCGCTCTGATTCTTCTGGGTCATTCTAGCCAAAGTCAGTACCTGTTAGTTCCAAGGTGAGAGGACAGCTTGCCCCAAATCCTTCCTGCCCCGAGGATGGCAGCCCATCACCCCTGCACTAGCACTGTCTGCTCAGGAACCCCAAAGGAGCCTGGCCGCCATCCAGGTGCGTTCATGGGGACAAACAGGCCCCTACCCACACTGGTTGTCTGTGGGTGGGGGATCCCAGGCCCATGGCCCCCTACTGTCACTGAAGTGCTCCCCCTCTTAAGGCTGGCCTGCTGCCCCCTGTGCACCACTAGGGTCTCAGCCCCAGTGTCCTTCCTTCAGGGAGGCTCCCTCACCACTCTTTCTAGAACAGGGCCCTCGCCTTCAGAATCCCCTGCTGACCTGAGCAGGCCCCAGTGCCATTCTGTGGGGACTGAGGCTCCACCCTGGGGACACTGCACAGTCTGGCGTGGGCCACTGGAGGTCCGCTACGAGAGGCAGAGTGTCAGAGGGCGCAGGGGGTCCTGCAGAGGGTGAGTCCTCATCATTGAGGGGTCTGGGGGCATCGCTGGTGTTGGGCTCATCACCCCTCCCCTGTACTTTTGAAGGTGACACTATGCAGCCATGCGGGTCCCACCTTGATCTGTGGCCTGTCGGTGCCACTGCCTCACATGAACTGCGTCGCAGGAACAAGAGCCTGGGCAGCAGGTTCAGGGTAAGCCTGAGGGTCCCTCCAGAGAAAACCATGGCAAGCCCAAGGGGTGAGTGTGCTGGGTAGTGTCTGCCAGCGCCGTAGGAGGCACAGGCGGGGCACGGGCTGCCCAGAGGACATGAGGTGGCGTTTCAAACAAGCCTTGCTTGGCTTCCCTTCTTCCTGTACAAGCATTCACAGAGCATGCTGGGCCAAGACTCTGGTCAGGGAGCTTCAATCTTCGCTTGCCAAGAGCTCAGGCTGGCAAACCCTTGACAATACTTCCCCCTGGCTCGCTGGCTCTTAGGGGCTTCCCACTGGCCTGGGTCTAAGCTTCTCCTGTGGACCCTCCAGAGGAAGCCTGGAGCTGGGCCCCACGATCAGCCTGCTGAGAGGTGGCAGCTATCAGCTGAGCTCTGGGCCCCCCAGGCCCTGGGGCCAAAGGTGCAAACACTGGACACCAGGCTGGGATAAGCTGGATGTCCCTCTTCCCTTACTGTAGTCTAGGGGTCTGGGAGACACCCCCCTACTGACTGGGATGAGCAGAGGCTGCAGCTTGGGAAGGCTTTGCCCACAATTCCAGATGTCAGTTTGGAGCTCCAGTGCAGGGGCAGTGGGAGGGCTTTCACACAGTGGTCTCAGAGTGGTGGCCTGAGTGGGAAGAACGCCGGTGTCCCAGAGAGCTGAGGCCAGCCATGGTCAGTGGCAGAGGAATCTGGGGACTGAGTTCTCAAGGCTGAGAGTGCTGCCCACCCGCACTTTCTACCATGACACCGATGTTTGAGGACCAGTGTTTCTCAAAGTGAGCAAGAGTGCCCCTGGGGACAGGGGTCATTGGAATAATCCCGGGGGCTGGGAAAGCAGATTCCTACACCTATCCCGAATGATGGGCTTTCATTGCTTGGGGGGTTGGGGGTTGAGTAAATTTTTTTTTCCCTGAAAGGGGGGCAGTAGGCCAAAGAAGTTTGGGAACCTGTGCTCCACTTCTACACCGCTCATGGGTGGCTGTTCAGCACTTGAAATGGCTGGTGTGAGCAAAGAAGAGAATCTTACACTGTATGTGAGTTCTCGTCAATAGCCACAGGTGGCTTGTGGCTGATATTGGGCAGCACTGGGGGCTCTGCAGGAAAAGCTGAACTGACGTAGAAAGAGTGCACAGGGCCATGGGCTTCTCTCCATGTGATCTTTCTGACCATGGTCTTACAGCTCTGCACTACAGAACGACTGGGTAGGACTACGTAAAAAAGGTGCCTGTGGTCCACTCAGGGCCAGTTTTGCCATCACTCTAGTCTTACAAAGTCAATCCCACGAGGTGAAGAGCCCAAGAGCCCTCCCCATTATCAAGATGAGTCAGGAGTGGAGTGTGTCCTTTGGATGTAAGGTCCCTGTGTGAGAACCTTCTAGACCCAGGAGCCAAGTCTCCATCAGGCCTAACACTGGTGGAGACTGCGGCAGCAGTGGCACGGGGCCAGCAGAGAGCTGCATTGGGCTCACGGACCCTTGGAGCAAAAGAGCAGAGCACCATCAGGCAGGAGACTCCCTGACAGGGCGGGTGCCTCTGAGCACTTATCGTCAGGGGGAGCTAATGATTAGTGAGCCAAGGGGCCTGCCTGTGTGGCATGACCAAGAAGAAGCCATCCTGATCAAAGAACTAGCCCGAGTTGATCCTGATTCTGAACTGTCCCCCGCTACTTGCCTAAGAAGCTCCAGACTGTGAGGGCGGTCTGTGAGGTCCGTGTGACCACCGAGGAAGCCAGCAGAGACAGAATGGTGGGAGGCATGGCTGGCGTCAGAACTGGCAGGAAGGCTGGAGACTGGAGGTCTGTCCGGCCTCCACCTCCATCACAGGCATCATTTGGGGCTGATGCTGGTGGTGGTCTCACCCTCTTTGTGGAGTTGGGGGGTTCTGACGCCACCCTCTTACAGTGCAGAGCAGCTGGAAGGAGGAGTCAGGGTGGAAATAAGGCGGGGAGGGCCCTGGGGACGGCTGCCTACCCCTGAGTTTATCTGAAAAAATGCGCGCAAGTGCAGCCCACTCCACTTGCAGGCCCATGAGTGATGATGCCCAGAGACGCAAACCAGGCTGAGTCTTACTCCAGTCTTTTCATTGTTTCCCAGCTGCCCCGGGAAGCCGAAGAGAAGTGAATCTTAAACTGTATGGATGACATACGCAACTTTGCGAGGAGACTCCGGGGAACACCTGGACCGGGGCAGCATGGCAGAGGGGCTGTGCGGCCTCTTGTCAGGGTCGTGTTGCCTCACCCCAGGCCTGGTGGTATCAGAGCTGGGGGGTGGGGAGGGGGTCTTCCTGCATCAGAATTCAGGTCTCAGCACCCAGAGCCTGGAGTACAGCCACTGTCTCCACCCAGGCCGGTTCCGTTCACCTCTGGGAACGGCAGTTTCTAGATGGGGAAAATGGGGACACTGGCAGCAGCCATCTCACGTTGCTGTGGTTGTCAGTCCAGACCCCCCAGCGACCCCACGCACAACACAGTGCCACTCTGCCCATCCTGGGTCCCCTCGTCCATCTCATAGAGATGCAAATGGAGCACAGCTGTGCGGGGGGCTGTGGTCCCAGACAAGACATGTGGGTGCCCTACAGCCCTGCTGCATGTGCACTTGACCTTCTTTGGAAATGGAGTCTTTGAGGATAACTCAGATACCAGGAGGTCTCACTGGATTCCCACCCGGCTGGTATTTGACAGAGACACACACTGGGGGACAGGCGCATCTTAGGCCAAGGAGCCTCAAGAATCACTTGCTATCCCCAGAAGTGAGGTGAGCCCTGGGGCAGGCGCTCCCTCAGGAGGAGTCAGCGGGGCCAGACCCCTGGCCCTAGACAACCTCTTTCTGTTCCAATAAGGCATCCAGCCTACAGCATTGTGTTGCAGCAGCCTGGGAAGCACATGCCTGATAAACATGGTTGCTGCTGGGCACTGTCACGTGTGTCCCCACCACAGTGAACTCAGTGGACAGGCTGCCTGCCTTGGCGGAACTGACACCCCGCTCCGCCCCCGCGGAATCTACCGAGGGCTTGCACTCCGCGGGGAGCCTGTGGAGAGGTGACTCATGAGCATGGGCAGGGTCTGGCCTGACTCCCTGGCAGTCGGGCAAGCGTCTCCCCTGGGGCAGCATCTGCCAGATTTCAGCCAAGTGCCAGGGAGTTGAAAGGAAAACAGAGTAATAAAAAATAGCTGTTACCAAGCCCAAGAGCAGGCCGAGTGGTCCCCAAGTTTGAGAACAGTTCTGTGTTTCCGGGCCCCCAGGACCCCTGGCGGTGAACTTCCTTAAGGAGCGTATGGAAACAGTGCACTATCGTCATCCCTGACATCAGCCTCCACTCCCACAGCTCCTGGTCTGGGGCCACTGTCCTCCACAAGATATGGCAGCTTTGGGGTTTCCTACCTTTGGCTTCCAGGACAGTGTATCCAAGGTAACTACCCTGTAACTTAGCATCAGCTTTAGTGGTTTAACCTTACAGCAGCAGCAACAACAAGATTGGGAAAAGTAAGGGCCCTGCGAGATTCCAGTTCCCGGTTCTCATGGCCCTGATCTGCTGGTTCTAGCCGCTGTCGGCTTTCCTGTCACGTCGTGTGACCTTTCATGCCAAACACTGTCTGTGTTTCGTGGTCTTCTCTACACCCAGGGGCACAGGGCAGAAAGTCTTGGGAGGCAGGTGGCTGCCAACATCACTTCTTACTGTGCAATGCCTTCTGGGAACAGGGCATGGGCCACAGGGGCGATGCCCCTTATAGATGGGGTGCTATCCGGGCTCATCAATGAAGCGCTCCTTCCTGGGTCTCGGTTGCTCGGCACTCCTCACCTGCCGGGGCCCCGAGTGGCCCGGCCCCAGGCCTGGAGCACAGTGGGTGGGGGGTGGGGGTGGGGCAACGAGTGGTGAGAGACTGAGGCTCCCTCAATACACAGCTGCCAGTCATGGTGGGCTCTGAGCACCAGGTGAGGGGCTTGGGCTGAATCTGGTGTGTCCTAGGCAACCATCGACCTCTGTGATCAGAAAACAGGGAGCTCAGCAGCATCCTGGCTGTGGAGGGGAGTGGTGCTGGGTCGGGGGCAGGGGGTGAGGTGAGGCAGATGGCCTCTGTGGTCCAGACTGGGAGCGATGGAAGAGGTTTGGCTACAGGAACCAAAGGCAACAGTGGCTTCAGCAGGCACTTGGGAGGCGCTCTGCACCCTGCAAGGCGCAGGCTGGGTTTAAGGACAGGTGGAGGCAGCACACACCCTCCCACCCAACTTCCCGTAGGCAGCGCCCTCCACAAGGGAAGGCCCATGCAGCAGGGACAAGGTGTGGGGCCCAGAAGGAAGGCATCACCAGCCTCACGACTTCAGGAAGGTGACAAGGACACTGTCTGCAGCAGCCGGGCTCTAAGGGGACGGCTGTCTTGGCAGCTACTGACCCAGGCTGCTCGGAGCTTGGGGAGAGCCCGCCTCGCTCACCGCCAGAGTGGCCCCTGTGTCGCCCTGCTGAACTCTCAGGGGTGGGAGAGGCCAGCTTTGGAGGAGCCCCAGGGGGCCTATGGCACTCTCAGCAGAGTGGCACCCACATGCAAGACAAAATCTGACACCCCGTTCCATTGGCACTCGGCCAAACCCTGAGAAGGGGCTCTCCGGGGTAGAGCAGTGTGGACAGAAGGGATGGCCTTGCTTCACACAGTGACGTTCTGCAAGGTGTGACCGGGCCCAAGGCCCCAGAGGACACTTCACAGAGAAGCCAGACTCCACCCTGCCTAATTTGGCCCACATCCCTCTAAATCAGTGGTTCTCAACCTTCCTCATGCCGCGACCCTTTCATGTCGTTCCTCATGTTGTGGTGACCCGCCAACCACAAAATTATTTTCGTTGCTACTTCATAACTAATTTTGTTACGGTTATGAATCAGGCGACCCCTGTGAAAGGGTCATTCGACCACCAAAGGGGTCGCAACCCACAGGTTGAGAACCGCTGCTCTAAATGCAAAATAGCCACATGTCACCTGAGAGAACAGAAACGCTCTTGCTCCCTCCCTGGCTGGCTCTCGGGAGTAGCCCATGTTTTCCCAGGGGCCCTACACAGGCCAGCGCTCAGGATGCACGGCTGGCCAGCAGCTCAGCACGATCCTAGCTCTTCGAAAGGCAGCGGCCAGGAAGCCCTGCAGTCCGCCCCTGCCCCTGCCCCTGCCTCTCCATGCCTGGAAGGGCCTACAGGTCCCACGTGGAATGTTTTGCCAGGACCCTGAAAATGAAGACGTTTCATCAGCGTTTCCGGTGAGAGGAACCTTTTGGACATCATGCTTAGCAGAGTGGAGGGGCAGCGAACAAGAGGAGGGCCTCTGACGTGGATGGGCATGGGGGCCGTCACGCACGGGGACCCTGTGAGGCTGGGCAGGCCCGGGCAGTGTTTCCTTCTGCTGTGCATGGGGTCGCTGTGGTCGGAACCGACTGGGGGGGCACGGCACCCCCACCCCCACCAGAGAGGGAGTCCCTGGAGGAGCAAACGGTGAAACAGCTGGTGGTGAACAGAAAAACTGGAGGGTGGAGGTTCCCCAGAGGAGCCTTCACAGAAAGGCCTGGCACTCCAGCTCCTTAACACCAGCCGGTGCAGCCCTGTGAAGCACGGTCCCTCGCTGACCCGAGCACAGGGCTCATCGGGGTCAGTAACTGCACGGCCAGGAGGGCCACGCCCACACTCCTCTCATCACGTCCCACCACCAGGGGCTTTTCAATCTTACAGTGAGCCAGCTTCTTGGAATCAATGCCAGGCTTCAACATGCCAGGGAAGGCAACATGGAGTCCCTACAGGTCAGGACCTTCAGAGGCTCGGCCCCACCAAGAGATATGCCTGCTCCCCCGTCACGAGTGTGCCCCTTTCTCGAGGCTTCCTCTGAATCGCTGCCTGGGGAGGCAGGCAGGGCTGGCTGAGGGGAAGAGCGCGGTGAGTCCTACCCTTACTTAAATGACAGAGACGGATTCCTCCATGTCCCCGCAGTGTGTCTGTGCCAAGCCCTGCGAGACACAGCCCTGGGTGCACAGGGCCTTCAGGGACATTTTAGGAGATGAACCGATGCTGGTGTTTCATAGGACACAAGGAGCCCAGTTGGCCTACTCATCGTAAGGTCAACAGTTCAAATCCACCAGCTGCTCTTCTTCAGGAGAAAGATGAGGGAGGCTGTGTGTACTCAAAGATGTATAACCCTGAAAACCCTACAGAGGGTCACCGTGTGTCAGAATCAACCAGAGGGTGCTGAGGTTTGTGGTTTCATAGGACACAGGCCTTGATCGTGTCTCAGTTATAGATGCTGCTGGACCGAGAAATCGAGTCAACCACCATGAGGCCCCCAGATGGACTGGCGAGAACAAAGCACAACACCCGGTGCCCATCTCCTAGGCAAGCGGGCGGACAGCAGGGCTCAGAGGACGCTGGGTGGAAAATAAAGACAGCTGCCGCAAAGGACCCTGCGCAGCGAAACGGCCACTCCCCGCCACGGCCACTCCCCCGCACCGTGGATCAGTATTCGGTTACCTTTCCTGATCTTGTCGTGGAAATTAATGGCGTCCACGGAGGCCGTGACGATGTTGGTCTTGCAGTGGCGGGCAGCCACGATCCCGGCCACCTCGTCCATGAGCTTCATGGTGACACCTGCACAGAAGACGGACACATGGCCGATCAGACATGCAGGGAGGTGTTGTGGATCCATCTGTGTCCCCCAGTGAGACAGGCTGTCGTCCTAACCCTGGGACGTATGCACGTGACCTTGTGAGGAAGCTGTCTGTGAGGTCACACTAGAGTAGCGGGTCCTAATCCGCTATGACTGGTGGCCGAGCAGAGAGAAGAGAGGCAAGACTGGTGTGGACGCGGAGAGAGAGGAACCCTCACCCACCGTGGGTGGAGATGTCACTGTGCAGTCACGGTAGGCAGCTCAAAGGGCTGGACCCATTTACCATGGGAGCCAGCAGCAGTTCCACCTCCAGGCTCCCCCCAAGAGAAACAGAACACATCATGTATCACGCAGAACGAAAGCAGCCAAGGACCCACGCAGGCGCTTGTACGCGAAGGCACACAGCAGCCCCAAAGCAGAGACAACCCCAATGCCCATTAAATGAACGATGTTCTGGGATGTGTCCCATGGAGGAACCTGGAAAACACCATGCTGACTGACAGAGCCAGACACAAGGGACAGTAAGGTGCTGTGTGAGTCATAGAACCCCCTCCTTGGGGATGGAAAACAGGAAAGTGGGTGATGGAAGACATAGGTCAGTGTAAGACATGAAAAAACCATAATAACTTATAAATTATCAAGGGAGAGGGAGGGAGGGAGGAGAAAAAGAATGAGGAGCTGGTACCAAGGGCTCAAGTAGAAAGAAAATGTTTTGAAAATGATGATGGCAACAAACATACAAATGTGCTTGACACAATGGATGGACATATATATTTCGAAAAGAGCTGTATGCACCCCAATAAAATGATTAATAATAATAATAACAAAAGAAAGAAAGAAATGCCAAGAAAAGGCAAATCCACAGGCACAAAGTAGATCAGGAGCTGCCCAGGGTCCCCAACAAGATGGACTGACACGGAGCTGCAGCGATGGGCTCCACTACAGCAAGGCTGTGAGCGCAGAGCAGGGCGGCACAGGTTTCACTCTGTCCTAAGCTGAGTCTCTGCGCCTCCGCTCCGCACAGCAAGGCTGGAGGGGACCTGTTGGGGCGCTGGGTAAGTACTTGGCTACGAACTGCAAGGTTGGTGGTTTGAGATCGCCAGTCTATTGTGGGGAGAAGAGGAGGCTGTCTGCTCTTGTGAAGACGTACAGTCTTGGAAATTCTGTGGAACAGTTCTTCTCGGTCCTACAGCATCACTGAAGAGTTAGAGTCGACTCAGTGGCAATGGGTTTGTTTTTGGTTTGGGGAGGGCTGGAGGAATGGGGGGGCGTTGCTAATGGGTACAGATTTTTTTTTGGTGGGGGGCGGGGGAAAGATGTTCCACAATGACTACGGTGATGGCTGCACAACTTTCAATATGCTAAAAGCCATGGACTTGCTCGCTTTAAAGGGGTGGATTGTATGTTACAGGCATCATCCTCAGTAAAGCTGCCACGTCAGACAAAGAAGGAAAACACTACAAGGCCAAGGTGTCCTGGAACTTTGGGGTTGCAGACGCCCCACATGTTGCTCAGCTCACCATTACTGAAGGGATCACTACTTTATGTATGCTAGCCACCCAAATTCTTATCCTCAAGTACAATACGTTATTTTTTCTTTCACTTAAAACAATGTTGACCCTTTTATTACCATTGGCTACGTGAGCTCACTGGTATCTGGCCATTTTGACCTACAAATACAGCAAGGTCATATTGATTAACCTAACAGCAAAAAATTTTAGAATGTTTTAGAAATTCGCCCTAGGACCAGCATGATTTCTAAAAAGCAAACGCACAGACTGCACAGCACTCGCGGCAGCTGTGGAATTCTGGTCATGGCAGGCGGTGTAGAGTGAAGCCAAGGGTATCAGACAAAGCGGAGGGCTGGTGGGGAAGTAGCAAGGACCCCGTCCAGAGGTCAGTTACTGTTCGGGTCCCACCAACTGTTCTCCTCTCCATTCCATGCCCCCAAAGGGTAAGGGCTGGTGCTACCAGCATTCTCTTGTTTCAAGGGAAATTTGAAATTCACCTGTTTAGGAATAATCTACCAATTTTTAGATGGGGATTAATGGAAAATATCATTACTGTGTGAGCCAAAGCACAATAATAAATAACAAACAAATAACAACAAAAGCCCTCCTTTGATGGTCAAAAGGAGCCATGGTAGGGTAGTGAATTACCCGTCGGTCTGCCAACTAGAAGGTCAGCAGTTTGAACCCACCAGCTGAGGCTTTATGCTCCCGTAAACATTTGCAGCCTTGGAAACACACCGCAGCAGTTCCACTCTGTACTACAGCAGGGTCACTAAGAGGCAGAACTGACTGGATGGCAGTGCGTCTGCTTTGCATTTGGTTTGATGGGTCAGAGGCTTCATAAAAAATCCTTAAAAGAGCTCATGAAAAGGAACATGGGAGCCAGAGGGAGGGAACTTTACTGAGTAAGTCATCAAGCAAACAGAATACAGAAGTCTTGTTCCTTGATTCTAATCAACTTGAAAAGAGTATTTTGCACTTGGGAATTTGATCACTGGTTATTTATTTGAATACTATTAAAGAGTTGTACATTTATTTGGGAGTATATCATAATGGTATTGTGGATGTTTGTTTGTTTGTTTGTTTTAAAGGACATCTTTTAAAAGCTACATGTTATTCCAAATCCAATCCAAACTCACTGCTCTCTACCTCTGTAGGTTTCCAAGGCCGTCAATCTTTACAGGAGCAAAAAGCCTCATCTTTCTCCTGATGAGTGGCTTCTGGGTTTGAACCACTGACCTTTCGGTTAGCAACACTAGTAACCCACTGCTCCACCAGAGCTCTTTACAGAAGCTCCTATGCATGGAGACCGCACATGCAACAGAGCAAACGTTGCCTGATCCCACAGCATCTTAGCCATGTTGTTACTAGGTGCAGACTCAGCGAACCTGTGTGCAACAGAAGGAAACACCGCCGGTATGTTTGAGTACATTGTTGCAGTTTAACAGTCTCTGCACGTACAATTCAGGGCACCAGTGTTGCACCACTGTCCCCCGCTCCTCTTCCCAGTCGATCTTCCCTCAGTCAACATCCCCACTGCCCCACCTGCCGGGGTCTAGCTGATCTCTGCAGTTGCTGTTGCCCCTCTGATCTCACAGAGCTAGCTCGTAAACCAGCATAATGCTCAGAGCACACTTTTTTTTCCAGCTAGTTGAGTCAATTTATTGTTTAGTTTTTTAAGAAGACTTCAGGGAATGTTTTTGGTTAAAGGTTGAGAGATTATCCCAGGGCAAGTCTCAGGGAGTCACCCACCCTCCATGACTCCAGCGAGTCTGACCGCCCTTCATCCGCTATGGTTCCAAGTGACGAGGGGCCAAGTGCTACAGCTGGGAGGCTGCGTGCAAGCTTTTAAGACCCCAGGTGCCACACGACAAGCTAGGAAAGGGAACTGAAGCACTGAACCTATTACTAAGCCGATTAGCTGGAATGTCCCATGAAACCATGACCCCAAACCTCCACACCAAGGAACCAGATCCCATGGGGTGTCTGACTGTACCTAAACCACCTCAGCAGGCACTCTTTTCCCCATTGTTATAAAGATATCTATCTATCGCACAACTTTTGTCACTTAAACTTTTTATAGGTGCACAACTTATTACAACAATTATGACTGGCTATGTAACCCTACCCTTGATCACGGGGACTTTCCCCTCACTGTTTCCCCATCTTCTCCTCTTCTCTCCCACCCTGGTCACCCCTAGTTAACTCTGGTCTCCATACATTTGTCTCTATACAAGTGAAGTCCTACACTGCTTTGCCCTTTTGCGATCGGCTTGTTTCGCTCAGCTTCAAGCTCCATCTAGCTGAGAAGCAACAGAGCCCACATGGAAGAAGCACACCAGCCTGTGTGATCATGAGGGGGTCAGGTATCAGTCATCAAAGTCCCAGAACGAAAAATCTTATCATTGTGAATTAGATGGGAGGGCAGAATGGCGACCAAAGCCCATCTGGAGATAATTTGGACATCTCCTAACAGAAGGGTCCTATGAAGAAATGAGCCAGTCAAGTTGCAGTATAGCACCGATGAAACATACAACTTTCCTCTTGCTCTTGAATGCTTCCTCCCCCACCCCCATCCACTGTCATGACCCCAATTCTACCTTACAAATCCGGCTAGACCAGAGCATGTACACTGGTACAGATAAGATCTAGAAACACAGGAAATCCAGGACAGATAAGCCCCTCAGGAACAATAATGAGAGTAGCAATACCAGGAGGGTAAGGGAAGGTGGGGGAGAAAGAGGGAACTGATCCCAATGATCTAAATATAACCCCCTCTCAGGGGGATGGACAACAGAAAACAGAGTGAAGGGAGACAATAGTCGGTTTGAGACATGAAAATGAAATGATAAATTATCAAGGGTTCATGAGGAAGGAGGGGGGAAATGAAGAGCTGATACCAAGGGCTCAAGTAGAAAGAAAATATTTTGAAAATGATGGCAAAATGTGCTTGACACAATGGATGGATGGATGGATTGTGACAAGAGTCCTCAATAAGAGGACTGAAAAAAGGAAAAGATCCCATTTCTCCTCCTGGTTGAACAGTATCCATTGTAGGTACCCACCGCGTTGCTTACCCACTCCTTGGTTGACGGATGTTTGGGTGGTTTCTGATCTCTGGCTATGGTGGGCAGTGTTATGATGAACATTGGCAGACGAGACTCTTCGAGGCTCTGCTTCCGAGTCCTTTGGGGCATGCATCAGGGGTGGAATTTCCAGATCATGGGGTGGTCTTATGAGGTTCCCACAGTGGTTGTACCATTTTGCATTTCGATCAGTCATGGATAAGGGTTCCCATTTCCCAACAGTCTCCCCAACAGCCGTCATCTGCTGTGTTTCCTTGGTGGTGGTGTCCGAGCTACGTGCGTGAATGTGAGGCCATCTCAATGTGGGTTTGGCTTCTAGCACGGGCCTCTTTCCGTGTGCTTGGCGGTTATCTGAACGTCCTTCGTGCTGGAACGTTCTACTCG